TGTCAGGTGTACATGGTCTACATTTCAATGTCAGGTATACATGGTCTACATTTTAGTGTCAGGTGTACATGGTCTACATTTCAGTGTCATGTGTACACGGTCTACATTTCAATGTCAGGTATACATGGTCTATATTTCAATGTCTGGTATACATGGTCTCTGGGGAAGAGGATGGGAATGGCTTTCCAAATAGGAAATATACAAAATATATTAAAGAAAAATTTCTTTTGACAAACCGTTATGAACAGCCCACATGATTCGGAAAGCTGGGCCACCAATCTCATCAAAGGGTTTCCGGCGTGTTATCACTTCCCAAAGAATAATACCCCAGCTGAAGACATCACACTTTTCACTGTAATTGCTACCTACAAAAAAAGGCAGTGTAATCTTGAGACCTGTTCCATAGAAATCACAGAAACAATTAGTTTCAAAAATTTTAAAGGAATGGGTATTTTGGATAAGAGACTGTCACACACAGAGTTAAGCAATTACTTTCTTAAATTTTTCAAAATACAGTTTAATGAATTAAATATAAACAATATACTCAAAATCTACAGGAGAAAGTCATTTTCTACTTTTTCAACAAAATACATTGGCCTTTCTTCTTCTGTGTGTAGACTGACCTCTTTTATAGACATAGTTAGAAACACCTTTCTATTTCTTTCTGTAAGTTTTCAATTCCTCTTTTAGAACAAGGTTTATTTAACTTTATTTTATGTGTATGAATGATGTTTTGCCTGTATGTATGTCTCTGTACCATGTGTGGCAAAGTAGTCATCAGGCACCCTGGATCTGGAGTTATAGACCTTTGTAAGCCTTCTGTGGGTGCTGGGGATTGAACCTGGGTCTTCTGCAAGAGCAGCAAGGGCTCTTTGCCTCTGAGTTATTGCTCCAGCTCCTCGATTTCCTTTAAGAGTGCTTGCTTGGAGATGGAAGCAAGGGTCGTTTTCATACAAAGCATACGTTCTGTGATTGGACTATATCCCCAGCTCCTGTAATTTGTTACCTTAATACTTCTCCTGCTCTGTGACAGACAGTATTCTTTGCCATCAGAGTAAAGCACTGTTTTAATTTAGTGGCTTCCCCCTTAATATATAGTTAAAATTCTTAATTTAAAAACCACAAAGAAAACTTAAATGATTAAAATTATGAGTGTCAAATGAAAACTAAGCAGATTATGAACAAAACTGTACTACTAAGACAGGATACATCAACATTTTATATATATACACACACCAAACTACCATCATCAACAAAAAATCCATACCCCAATTATTATAATGATAGATCTGCATGCAAAGAAGTACACAATAATATAGAGTTGTCACACATAGCAATCTAATTTAGGCTACAGCTGCTGCCTGATGACACCTTTCAGAAATTTAGAAATTTACATAACCTAATCGTCTAGGCTTTGTTGCCTTCAAAATAGAAATGACAATTACTCTGCATAACAAACCCCTTTGCTTTATTTACTACAATATTGTGCCACTCTAATGCATAGAAAGTGACATCAAATAAGTGACAAAATTACTAGAAATGGGACCTGCATTATCCAGATGAAAGAAAGGCATTATTTAATCTTATGTAATTAAACATCTTTAGTCCAACACTGCTTTTTTGTTTTTTGAGACAGGGTCTCTTTGTGTAGCCCTGGCTGTCCTGGAACTCACTATGTAGACCAGACTGGTCTCAAACTCAAGGAGATCTGCCTACCTCTAGTCCAACAGTTTGTAATTGGCCTTCAAGGAGTAACAGTGCTAATCTAGTGACAAGTTGCATAACATTTCCTTTCTCTGGGGGTGGCTAAACACAAAGCGTCAAAAAAACTTTAAAATTCACCAAAAGAAAGAGAGGGAGGGAGGGAGGGAGGGAGGAAGGGAGGAAGGGAGAGAGAGAGAGAGAGAGAGAGAGAGAGAGAGAGAGAGAGAGAGAGAAAAGAAGCAAAGCTCTACCCAGCGATGATGGCGCACGCCTTTAATCCCAGCACTCTGGAGGCAGAGGCAGGTGGATCTCTGTGATCTGTGAGTTCGAGGCCAGTCTGGTCTACAGAGCAAGTACTTCGACAGCTAGGGCTACACAAAGAAACTCTGTCTTGAAAAACAAAATAAAACAACAACAAAACAAAAAGAAAAGCAAAGCCCCTAAGTAGAGTCTGATTCTTGAATGTGTTTTGAGTATTATGGCATTCATACAAATGGAGATTCACACAAAGCCCATTTCTTTAGCTCAGTGTCTCTCACTTAAAAGAGAACTTGTTTTCAGACAGAAACTTAAATATACGGACTAATCTTAGGATGTCTGAGTGAGCTACGGGGATGTAAAAGAAGCAAATGTTAGCTTACTCTTTACGGGTACCATACCTATACCCACAGTCCTTTTAAGGCATGCCCTTAACCTAAACCTCAGCACTCTTAATTTTTAACTGATAGCAAATCAGTGCAAAGATACAGTTCATTCTCCATATTTAGGCATATACACCCTATTAAAAAGTCTCCATAATCATTGAACCACTGCTCCCAGGGGAAATACAGAACTAGGTTCCTATGTGTCTTTGTCAATTAATCAATATATGTCCTTGTCTCGTGTGTGTTTAAAGACTCTTCCGCTAACACTCCCGTAGTTCATTAGTGTCGAACTCACGGCACTCTTGAGCATGTTGGAGAGGACACCCGCTAACACATATTTTCATGTACCTTACATATTCAAAGCCTTCTTGGACTTAGGCAGCACTACTCCTGGGGATAGTGTGAACAGGAAAATCACCATGACCACCACCAACACAAAAAGGGAAAGCCTGGGTCTAAATAAACTGCAAAAGGGTCCCTTATTCCCCTCATCAGAGAAACAACCACGGACAGTGCTGGGTATGACTCAAAATGTGTACTGTTGTACAAGAGGACCTTACTTCTGGAATAGTTCTGAAAGCGTTTCAACTAAAGGTTAGCAAGTAGACAGCTTCCCAATTATGCAACCTGTGAACAATGAGGATTGGCTGTACATATGTGTGAATCTGCACAGAAAATGCCAATTTAAATTCTGCCATAAAATTTGGAATCTTAGGCTAAAGTCATTTAAGACCCCTTTATGCACTATTCAGAAGTACACTACATATAGTGCTGTCAATGCATCCTGGATTTACATAAATAAGGCAGATTACCAACCATATCATGCTTTTATGATTATACCTTCAAAAACTTCAGGTGCCATCCAAGCAGCACTCCCTTTATTATTGGTCATGTGCGTCTGGATGTCACAAGCTGTACCAAAATCGCAGATTTTCAGAACTGTCCCTCCTGCAACCAGCAGCAAGCTATTGTAAAAGATTCAAAAGTCACAATGTCAGTATTTGATTTTACAGTAAAAGAAGAGATAATTATAGAACTGGAAAAAGCCAAGTTAAACGAATGCTATTATTAAACTTCTATGAAATGCTACTTGGTCACTGAATAATGGCCTAACAGCTTGGAGGAATATCAGGAAAAATTAAATGGTCATAACCTAGAGGACTTGGGGAGATCATCATATTCAAATTTTGATGTCTCCATCGTTAGTCCCATGACGTTTCCTGACCAAACACCCCTTTGGTTCAGCTGGATACAGGTTTAACAGCTTCCTAGAGTGCAGCACTGTAGTGTCCTAGAGTAGGAGTTTAATCACAAACATTTATTTCTAAGAGAACAGCAACATAACATGAAACAAATTATCTAACTGAAGATAAAGTAACAGATCAACACAGAAGGAAACCAATAGTATAGGTTTATGTGTTTTTGCAGTGTAGGAAATTGAACCATGAGACTTGTGTATGCCAGACAAATGCTCTATCACTGAGCTAGACCTCCATACCAATGATTCTTATTTTATGTGTTTATTCAATGATTAATCTCAATACCATTTCTGAATTTAGAATGGTATTGGGGAGGAGGACTATGAGTCGTGTATAGTTACGATAGCCTAAATGCTAGCAATGTTTCAGAACTTCGGCTGCCTAGGTGCTAGGACTCAAATACAACTACCAAAGAGAATCTATTTACTTACAAATTTTACTTTTGATAAGAAACAGAAATAGAGATGGGTCATAAAATGTGCATAACCATACTGGAGTAACTATTCAACAGAAGCAAATGAAAACTTGCTGTAATTATACATCCTATTAACTTCTTGTATGTAATGTTCTACTTAAACTCTAGCTAGAGATTTAGAAAATTCTTTTAATTCAATGTGATTATAATAAGCAAATAAGCCACAATTTACAATGTCATACTACCAAACACTTTTGTCATATTTTAACTTTCCTATGCATGCAATTCAACAACAAAATTTCTGTCTCATTATTTTGTCTAGATTATTGTTCAACCCTTTTAAAGGTTCTCTAAGTATCAGGATTCTCACTCACTATGGTGAAATTTGGCCTGTTTGCATCTCTACCCAGATTCAGAAATGCTTCTGCTCAGTCTCTAAGAACAAGAACACCACTGGCACAGTTCTGCAGTGTCCACCATGTGGGACACTGTTCTTGTTAAGAGTGCAGCAGGAACAGTAACTCAGACTTGTCTCAGCTCTCAGGAAACTATGCAGGAGCAATTTTATACAGTACAAGTAGAGAATGGGACTTACAGGCTAATAGATTCTAATTATAATGTAGAGCTGCAGTTAATTAAAACATCCCCCACAGACAACATTCTAAAATGTAAGTTTAGATAAACAGCTAGATGATAAACATTTAAGTAAAAATAATCATGTAAATAAAAAGGAAGAGAAAAGAGAAAGTCAAGAGTGACAATTACCTTGACTTAGGGATGAATTGGGTTGGCAAGAGGGGAGAAACCAGTGTCATACCATTAAAACTTACTTTGGAGGCTTGAGGTCCCTGTGAATTAGTGCTTTGGGCTGCATGCTGTGCAGATAAGCCACTCCTTGGGAACACTGTAAACACCAACTCATGGCATGGGCAGCAGTGTAGTAAGGCAATGGTTCAGCACCATGCAGCACTGTAAGAGAAAGGCACAACAAACTAAAAAGAACTTTATTGCATGTAACATGGAACAATATAAATGCAAGCACCAGCAGAACACAAATGGGAATCTTTCACAAATATTTTAGACTTGTTTCTAAGCCTTTTCTAGATTAAAACAACATGTTTAAGAAATTTTAGTAGATAACTTCCAAATGGCTATTCAAATAAAAGAAATAAATACTACCATACTTTTAAAATTGAGTATCTTTCATACAATCACATAAATTATAAGCAAACCTATTCATTATGAGGGTGGAATAGAGAAACAGTAAAATAAGATGGCCATATCAGATGCTTACAACTATCCTGTGTATTGTAGCTAAAAACTAGTAATTCTTTCAAATAAAATTAGAGTGCTATATACAAATTAACAATGAAGAGCATATCAGTGAGTTTAACTAAATGTTTACGTAAAATAATGGTAACTTAAAGTAAATGCTGTCGATTTTATAAAGCTTATAGGGACAACTCACACATATATGAGGTTGGTATTTGTAGGTTGACAGCTTTGTTCCACAAGGGTAATACAAAGTTTTCTTTCACGGTAACTGTGGTGGTTTGAATGAGAAGGACCAGTATAGACTCCTATGTGTACAAATTTGGCCTCCATATGATGGAACTGTTTGGGAAGGATTAGGAGGAGGAAGCAGTCAATGGAGGCAGGCTTTGAGATTTGAAGACTCAGCCATGCCAGTGTGCTCTCTGCCTCCTGCTTTCAGATAAAGATGTAAGTTCTCAATGGTCCCAGCTAACATGCTTGCTGCCACAATACCACACCCTTTGAAACCAAAGCCCAGTTAAATGCTTTCTTTAGTAAGTTGCTTTGCTCACAGTTACAAAAATAGGAAAGTAACTAAGACAGTAACAATTTAAAATGCTCTGTGAAGTGAATTTTCACCATTTTATGTTTTGAAAAGAACGCACAATAAAGCATGGTAAGATGAAATATAGCTCAAGAGTTCTAAAATGAAGGCTCAAAACTAAAAAGATAGAAAAATGACTGAACACATTTTAAAATCTATTTAAAAAGCAACTGTTACTTCAGGCTTTGACCATAATAAAATATTGTTAACTTGAAAAATGTATATAAATGTCATAGCATCTTTTTTGCCCTAAGTCCTTAGCAGTGAAAAAGAGCAAACAACAAAATGAACTCTGAACTCTGATGGCAGATTGTGAAGGTCAATAGGTAATTTAGTTTTCATTAAAAGCTTTCCAATTGCTTCAATCTACTAGCTAAAAGCAGGTTTAGCTGATACTCACCGTTGTACAAAGAGCCTCCTTCAGCATATTCCATCACAAGACACACCTAAAGGGAACACGCCAGAATTACTGGAGTGACACTATTGGGCCCTCCCTGCAGATAACTTACTTCAACTGTCTGACTGCCCTGAAAATGATTCCTTTAAAAAAAACCCAGAGCCAGATACTGGGGTAAATGCTGAAAGATCAGAGACAAAGGAACAAGCCACAGCCACTTCTCTCCTCACCAACTCCATGAATCATGACTTGTCTCTGAGTCCTCAGCCAAAGGCTCTTCTTGTTCCTGTCTCCCCAGCCATTTCACTTCCTTCCTAGTGCTAGGACTGATGGCGTGTGTGCTTCCCAAATATTGGTAGCAAAGGCATGAGATCTCCAGAGTTGAGATTAAAGGTGTGTGGCTCCCAAGCACTGGGATTAAAGGTGTGTGCAACCACTGCCTGGCCCTGTTTCTCTCCTAGACTGAATCATCTCATGTAGTCCAGGGTGGCTTTGAACTCACAGATATCTGGACAGATCTCTGCCTCCCCAGTGCTAGGATTAAAGCTATGTGCCACCATTGCTTGGCCTCTATGTTTAATTTAGTGGCTGGCTCTGTCCTTTGATCCTCTGGCAAGCTTTATTTGATATACAATATGTATGTATGTATGTATGTATGTATGCATGTATGTATGTATGTATATACATACGGATCACAAGGCCAAAACAGACTCACAAGACCTTTTGAGGACCTTCTCCAGTGCTAATAAAGGCATGTTCTAGGACATCAAGTCCTAGAACAAGGTGAGTTACTGGCAGTGTAGGTTGGCAAGGACAGACAGATTACTACTCCATGACAGCGCAGGCTTTTATTCCTATGGGGTCTAGTATAGGAAGAAGAGCCCACTGCTTGCTTACAGGGCAGGAAAGAGGAAGGGGAAAGGATTGAAAAGTTTCCTTTTGTGGCCCCTCATTGGCCACTGTCAGGTTAGCTAAGGAAATAAGACGAGTGATAACATAAGGAATGTTAGGTGATCTCTCTTGGCCAGCAATTACTGGGGTCCATAGGTGGGGAAGGAAAGAATTTAGAAAAACAAATTATATTAGTTCTGGAAATTAAATTAGTTTTGAGAACTGTTGTTTACACAAGATGAAGGAGCTTTATAAAATGGTGTGGCCAAAGCTAACAGGTACCTGAGACAACTCCACTAGCATACTGTTGTGTTAAGACTAGACACAAATGAAATGCAGGAAGTGTAACATTTTCAGAAATAAAGCTAAGACAGAGCAGATCAAAATAGCTTCACATAGTATATAAACTGTATACACTTGCCATACTGTTTCCTACGGGCTTATAGAACAATAGGAGGAACACTTACTGGATTCAAGCAGGCTCCATACAACTTTACAATATTAGGATGGTTCACACGTGATAACTGCCGGAGCTGTAACAAATTATGGATTCTTAAAAAGTGCTAGTTTTTGAGGTACTTATTTTACCATGTTGTTGAACTCTTACTGTCATATAGACCATCTGTTTAAATCATTCAGCAACATCTGTTTACCAGCTAGCAAGCACTATGGAAATCCCCAGTCCCTGCCTGGAATCCCTGTCCTACAGTTCAAGTGGGAACACAGACATAATCAAATATACTAAGACAGAGAAATCTTTAAACCATGCACAAAGTGCTGTAATGGGAGTTAAGAACAAGTCAGGACAAACAGAAGAAACAAGCTGCCAAAAGTCAGGGCATTATCCCAGATATGGTATTGACCGAGTCACCCACACCGGAAGCTGTGCTACTTCATTAGAGCTACAGGTGATCAATTTCCCTATTCTGTATGTGCCCCTGGATTTCTCTGACTCTGAAGATAGGTACTATTACTTCCATTTTAAATATGACACCTTGAAGTTAAGTTCCAGAGAGAATAAAACAGCTAAGCAGATAAAGATTCCATAGCCAGGATTTGAACTTCAGTTTATCTGACATGACATACACACTCTTTCCATTTTCTCTCTTCGAGTTACTACAGAGAGCTCCCGTCCTGTCCTGTGTTCTCCCGCCCCCACCCTGACTTTTTCTTTTATCCAGTCACATGCTACTGGCTCATGGGAAGCCCACTAAGGTCTCTTAACCTTTTTATCATAGGCCACTGGACAGTTTTTTTTTTTTACAGTCGACATTCATGATTTTTTTGTCCTAACAGAAACTGTTATTTATTTATTGCATATAAATATATTCCATCTTGGTAAAACTCTAGAGTGAACTTCACAGAGCACATTATTCAAGCATTTACTCCTGTTTTCTCTGAGTCTTATAAAGTAGGTGAAATTTTTTGTTGTTGTTTACAAGGCATAAACTCAGAAGGATGATGAGAATCTGAAATGAGACAACAGTATACAATTTTGGAAGTTGTCAAGCTAGAAACTAGTAATAACCGACCCAGCAGACCTACAAACAAATCACAAACAAGCAGTGAGAACAAGAGAAGGAACATGATTTACTTCACAAAACCTCGTTATGCAGAAGAAACTCAAAGTAATAAAATTGATGTTACAAAGGGTTTACCAATGGCCTTGCTTAGCAGATAGGAATCACACAAAGTAGAATTTAGCTAAGGGATCACTGCCTCCAAAATACCCCAAAGATAAATAGTGTGTGAACCAGCCTGTTAGAGATAAACAAAATTTACAATGCTGGATGTAAACATTTGCTCACAAGGATTCACCAGCGATTTACGCCCATCCCCACATAACATGCCTCTATCTGGCAGCTCGGGGGCAGCACAGGGTCACAACCATTGTTAAGTCCCTGGCTGCCATAAAGCCCTCACTTCTCTTCTTGAGAAAAACGTAATTCAGCCGGATGAGCAAGAAGACCCTGGATAACAACCATATGAAAAGAAAACTCTGGTGCTGTGTAAATCTCCCATGTGCATAAGTGGCCAGACTTGTGGTCTCCCGTGTTGTTTAAACTGTTCCAAGTGTAACCTGGGGCTGAGACCTAAAAGAGTAAGGATGACAACATATGTGAAATCAAAAGCCCACTGTGTATACAGTTAGAAAAATCTTCAATTTGAGGCAGGCTCCTCTTCAGGTGCTAGCCACAGCTGGCCCCGCTTTTTCCGTAAAGAGCTTTTCCTTTATTAATCTCTAAGTGGTTGGAGTAGCTTCTCACTAGTAAGGTGTATTATTTCTACAACATTATAAGAGATTCTTAATTTTAGGTAATGGGAAAGAATACCATTTCAAAATTAAAATACACTACCTTGAAACAGATTTGGAGTCCAAGGATGAAAAACACACTCCTATGGCACTACCTTCAGTTCAATCAAATTTGCTGAGGTTCACATACACAGAAAAATGAAAACTCAGAAACAATGTCTTTATCACCTTAAGATCAGAGTATCTCTGGTGAAGAATCTGGACAGAAATGACATTGCAGCTTACCTCCACAATGAAAGCCTTCCTCTCGGATTCACTTTCTATCTGTTTAATAGCAACATCTTTTGCTCTCCACTTAGCTTTGCAAACTACTCCAAAGGCTCCTCTTCCGACAACCTTAATTAACAAACAAAAAAACCCAAAATTCAGAAGCAGGCCCAGTTCAGTATGAAACAGGCAGTTTTTAAGTCTGATCAAAGGTTCAGAAACCACCACTATCTGAATTTTCTAAGAATAAATTTTTCATGAGACTGAGGATGAAATGCAGTTTTAATCTGTGAAATAAACCTCTTCATTCTCAAGCAAAAACAAAAAATACAAGACACAAAGCAATGTCTTAATCACAGAAGAAAATTAAAGGCAAGATGAATAAGTAGAGAAGTGGTTCAGAAAAAGAAAGATTAAAAAAGAACATATAATATTTTAAGAAATTAAAACGAGCTTTCAAATAACGAAATAGGGGTAGGGAACAGAGGGAGAAAGACTAAAGATACATATGATAAAAGACTCATTCCAAAGTACCCACAAAATGTGTTACTGTCTGTACAATGAAATAGTTAGGCAAGAAAAATAAACAAATATGGCTATATGCAACAACATGGATAAACCTGAAAAACATTATACTAAGTAAAAAACCCAAAAAAACCTTGACCCTCAATACCATATATTTCAAGGTTCTTTTATAAAATGCCTATGAGAAAAATCTGGAGACAGCGAGCAGATCCGTGGTTGCCTCAGAGTAGGATGAAAACTGGAATTAATATAAATGGCTACTGGGTATCCTGCCAAGGTGACGACGTGTTTGAGAGTTGACTGTGATTGGCTGACAATTGGATAAATTTGCAAAAGTCATTAAATCACACTTCACATAGGTGAGTTTTACTTTTAAAAAAGTTATAAGAATACAGATCAACCACATGCCATATTCTTGCTAAAACTAATGGCTATCACATGGGTACATTGCTCTGTCAAGCTGTTCTATTTTTAAAAATACTTGAAAAAATAAAAAAATAATAAAAATTAGCTTGATATCTGTCAGATCAAAATGATTAGACTGTTATTATGAAGGGCGTTAGTTAGGCATCATCATCTCCAATCTCCCACCTTCTATCTATCTAAGACTGTGGCACAGCCCTTTCCTTGGGCAAAAGTCCATCTCCATTCATCACATTTTTATATATTTTCTACTAGCGGGCACTGAGAGAGTGCTGTGCCCACATCCCTCTTTAGACAGCCTCAAGAGGAGGTGCTAATGTTCTCCTCGTGTTACACATAAAGTACACAGCTTTAAAGAGGCAAACTTACTCTCTCCAGTCTACATAGGGAACCAACAGTGGAGTACAGTCAATGGCAGGCAGCCCAACAATAGAATGTCAGTGGTTCTAACACCAGAAATCAGATGCGTGGTCCCTTGGTGAGCATTTCACTTCAGACACATTGATATAAAACTCCTTAAGAGCAAAGCTGACTGTAGCTAGAAATGATCAAAAGGTTGTTTTTAAAAAAATTTACATTGGGCCGGGCGGTGGTGGCGCACGCCTTTAATCCCAGCACTCGGGAGGCAGAG